AGCTATACAACAATGTAGCTCCTGCTGACGGAGCACTTCAACAGAATAAAATAAATATAAGAAGAAATCTTAAAATATATCATAAAATATAAAGAACACAAAACGTACAAAAGATTCAGTGCAGGAGCTTTAGAGTTGTTCAGCATTGTGCATGATTTGTCACTTTACAATTATTTTTTAAAATATTTTATTCTGTAAAACTTCAAAATAAAAGCCCATGCCAATTCGAGGCCCAGTCCCTTTTACTGGCCTGGTGGTGCTGCACGTTTGACAAATAAAGACCGGTCTCAATTAGAGGCCTGATGTGCATTTAGTGTGGATTAGAAAGTGGATTAATTATGTGAATAAAAAGCAGCAAGACTCCCAATAAAACCTCGACATCTGTCCAGGAAAGACAGAATGATGCTCGTATGCGTACCAGCCGTGCAGCAGGTCGACGTCTTTAAAATCAAAAACAAAAGAGTGATTTTAAACGTAGTTTGTTTATTGATATCCTAACTTTGAGCTCACTTGTTATTCAATATTCTCACTGGTGTAAATTACAGGTTTCTAGTCTTTCCCATCTTTGCTGTGCAGTTTTCTTTCTTTTTAAAAGTTCAGCTCTTTGCCTGATCGCAGGTCTCGTGTCAGTGGTTTCCAAGTGTTTCCATCGTCACTTTAGAGCAGAATACTGTAGAGACCGTTTGCTCTCATTTGACATTTCCTTGTTGGTTTTTTAAAGGATATGAACAAAGGCTGTAACTGCACACTTCCCTCCTCTCTCTCACAGACCATCCTGACTGCCAGGAACATCGTGGTCGCCACGGGTGGACGGCCGAGATACCCCACAAATGTAAGTAACAACCCACCAGCAACCTCTGGTGGTGAAAGAAGAAGCTGATGCTTTAAGTGCAAAAATGCTGCAGTTCATAGAGTGTCCACTAGAGGCTGGCTGCAGAAGCACAGGAAGTCCGTTTTTACAGCAGAGATGAACATGTTTACAGCCTGGTTCAAAAAAACAAATAGGTGTGATTAGGTCATATCTGGATGGACACACACTGTACGGGGGGGTGAATGTTTTGATGACTCATCAGTTTTGATTTGATGAAGGATAAGAGTTATTCACAATAAGGCGTGTAGCTGACCTGATTGACAGGTGGGCACGATGTAACAGTTAGAGGTTTAAAACCCGCCTCAGCTCCAGCTCTCAGCCTGTTGTTAGGTTGACTGAAAGTTAGACTGAGACAGGATTTCCAACATGGAGACTGCTGCTGATGAGCCTTCAGAGCCCCCTGCAGGTACAGATGGGTGATGTCACTCAGGCTTCATCCATTAATATTAAAGGTCTATGATAACAATCCTACAATCATTCAAATGTGTTGTTTGGTTTGGTCGACTGGTTACTGGGTAGACTAACTGATGAGAAGAAGAAAATATGCCCACCAAGGCCCCGTGTCCGCCTAGCGTTTTTTTCTGAGCACAAGCATTTTTCTTCAATTGTTTTCAATGAGGAGAGAGTGGCTGCGTGGAGAAAAAGCGCAGCACCCAGTGTCTTTTCTTCCGAGAGCTCAAGTTGAAAATCTTTCAACTTTTCAGAAAGGCGCTCTAGTTTTGTCGTCTACTGATCGTGTCTTGTACCCACATCCCCCTCGCTCCGTGTCTGATCAGGAAATAAACGATCTCATTAATATTAACGAATATAAAACAAGCAGTAAAAAGTTACGGAGCAGCTTCGGTCATACAGCGGCCGTCATCAACAGACTGTTGTCATGGAGACAGGACTGAAGTGCAGCACTTTTCTTCTCAGCGCACAAACGCTTCATGTAAACACTCCCGAGAGTACAGCCGGCGCTTTTCAGCCCAGAAAAAACTCTAGGTGGACACGGGGCCTAAAGAGAAAAACAGGAAAAAGCAGCTTTCAGAAATCAACACGTCTGCTACATTTGATGTATTGATCGTGGTTTGAAAGGTGAATAGTTCTGCCATCAGCTTTTTACTCTTCTCACAGATTCCTGGAGCAGTGGAGCACGGCCTCACCAGCGACGACATCTTCTGGCTGAAGAAGTCGCCCGGGAAAACGTAAGGCGAACCCCCCCTCCCCCACACCCACCAACACATATACACATTATAACAAAGTGAGGATGAACCTTTTAACCCTTGAACGCACCATTTCTGTTCATGAACCATTAAACCTCGAGCTACAAGCTGAGCAGAGAGCCTCTAACCTCTGCAGCATCAATGCCCTCGCTCTAACTCACCGCGTTAACCGTACATGCTGACACGACACGGCCCGCTGTCACGCACTGTCATCATTCATCGGTGACATGCGGTTTGTTTTTCTCCCTTCCTGTCAGCCTGTCTTCGCCTCATGATTCAGATTAGCGGCGTGCATCCTGACCTTTGCAGAACAAGGCCTTTAATCCCGCCTTTTAGCCGCTGTCATCGCCTGGTTAATTGGTCCTTACATGATGTTTCCTCTTGGCACGGCGTGCAGACGGTGACTAGTGGTTGTGGTGTACCTGGGCTCCGGGTGTTGTTTGCTCCTCGCTGAAAGACGAGCGGAAATGATTGATCCGATATTTAAGCTTCATAATGAATCCAGAGAGTCTGCATCTGTGCCCGAGACTTTTTATGATGATAGTGTTTAACCTCGTTTGAATGAAAGGACGTTCTCGGGTGTTTTAAGAAGAATGCAACTTTAACTGTATATCACATCAGAAAGACATGTTACTAAACTCTCTTCAGAGGTTGAAGTCAGTGATAATGTGATAAAAATTTGGCTTAATGACTTTATTTAGAGACAGGACAGTGGATAGAGTCAGAAAACCAGGAAGAGAGAGAGAGGTGAATGACATGCGGGAAAGGAGCCACAGGTTAGAGTCCAACACGGGTCATCTACTCCACATGGGGCATGCGCTAGCCTTTAGGCTACCGGCCCCCCTTAACCGCGATGTTTAATTAATAAAATGGTAAATGGACTTGAGCTTGTACCCATTCACCAGTGTTTCCCCTTCCATTATATTAGGGGGGTGGCCCACCTCCCCCTTGAAGGTCAAGGCGGCGTCCCTTTAATTAAAATTCTCACATACACATTAGTATCAGTTGGTGTGTATGTGCCGTTATTTGTATGCTTTTCAGATTTTGTGACCACTTGGTGGTAATCTTTAACAGTCAACAAATCAACATGGATGCCTCGGTCAGTAAACAGCTACCACTCTGTCAACAACATGTCTGTATATATAGAATTATCGCTAAGAGGCGCCACTTGAGCGCAGGAAGTCCTTTGACGTAGCGGGCGGCGGTTAGTGGGGTCCTCTTCGTCCCTGTAGGCGGCTAGTCGAGGGTAACCATTAGCTTTAGCGTCCTCTGTGGGAGCATTGAACCTCACACTGCAGACGGAGCTGAAGTTGTTGTTGTGCTGCTGAGCTGTCAGCTGTGCAGGTGAGGTCCAAGAAGCTGATTTTTAACCGTGTGTGTGGGGAGGGGGGGCATTCAGGTGAGTGATGGGTGTCTAATGGCGCACACACACACACACACACACAGACACACCTGAGTGACAGATTCAGCCTCAGGGCCATATCCCAGAGCCGACTGCACATCGTCGTGCTATCAGGAGAAAGCAGTGAGCGCGTGCCAGGGGGACCGTGCTACGGGTCCAGGGATAGGCCGTACTTGAATAAGGGGGTCTGTGTGTTGTGTTGTATAACGGAAGAGGACCACACTTCTGGGGGATGTCTTTCAGCAGTTTGTTGAAAAAGCAGCACAGATGGTTCCAGCATAGCTTCCCAGAATTTATAGAGAAACAAAACATGCACAGAATCTGTTTTGCTCACGTGGACTCTGTGACCGCAGAAAAATACATTATTTAAAGGTCACACATTTCCCTCCTCTTCAACCAGTTTAAATAAGTCTCAGAGCTCCTCAAAACATGTGTGTGAAGTGTCTTGTTCTAAATCCACTCTGATCCTGTATTTGATCATGTCTATAAACCCCTCTATTCAGCCCTGCTCAGAACAGGCTGTTTCTGTGTCTGTACCTTTAAATATGTAAATGAGCTGTGTCTGACCACGCCCCTCTCTGGAAGGACTTGGGTGTACTGGTCTTTCTCGCTCCATGACTATTGTTTACTGTGAGAAGGCAGACCCAGAGGGCAGAACAAACACCTAGCTGTGGGAGTGTCACCACCTGGGGAGGGCTACTGCCCTTTGTGATGTCATGAAGGGAAAATCTCCAAACAGCCTGTTTGAGCACACATTTTCTGAAAAGTGGAGCAGGCAGAAGACGGAGAGGATGGACTTTTCTCATCATTGGGGGGTTTGTAGACGGACTACAGACACATATTAGTGTTAGAGAAACATGGTGAAGTGGATTTTGCAGAATGTGACCGTTAAGGTGCATTTGAATTCAACATTATTACATTTTAATAATAATAATTAAATCTGTATTTGTCATGTGAACGTTGACATTGTGCAGCTAGAATAAAAAGAGGAAGTAAAGCTACTAAAACACTGGAAGCTTTTTTGAATAACACAGTCAGTGATCCTTTTAGAACATAAAGGGTTGTTAGTTCTTCATGAAAACATCACTCTGTCATCAACACATAATAACCACACTTTTGAAAACTGAGAATAAGTAACAAGTGTGACACAGAAAGTTCATGATCCGAATATTTTAGTCATTCCAGTTGAGAACTGCTGCTGTGTTCAAATACAGTTTGTATTTATCGATGAGAGGTCAAAATCATCCTTTCTTCTTTCAGAGGTTATTGTCAAAGCCTTCGCCAATCTGACAAACATCAACTAAACATTACTTTATAAAAATGTAATAGATTTTTTTTGTTTTGTTTTTTAAGGTTTATGTTTTGGGCTTTTAGTGCCTTTATTGTAGAGACAGGACATTGGATTGATTCGCAATTTGTGGCTTTGGGAAGGCTACAAAGTCTAAATCAGAATATCCAAACTTTTACTACAACCTCTCCCAAAATAACGATGCGCGAGACTGGGGACCCCCTCTGACCATGGAAGGGGTTAAAGCATTTAATATTATTCACAGCAGCACAACTAATAAGCTAATCCAAACACTGACATAAGAACAACACTAAAGAATAGAGCAGACTCTTGAATAAATTAACAAAATAAAACAAAGAGCACAACATATACCTGCATTTTTACAGTCATGTGCAAACTCAAAGTTTTCACTTTAATTTCCGCACAAATCTCACTCAAGCACTATTTCACAATCATCAGTAAAATATGAAATTTTAAGTCATTTCAAATTAGTATTTGTTTTTGGAAGGCATCTCTCGACCCCCCTCCCAGTGTCTCGCGACCCCCACTTTGGGACCCACTGGTCTAAATCACTGACTGCACTGTTTGGTTGATGTTAGTGTGAGCTCACTAAAATGCCTTCAGAAGCAACATTTCATAGAAACATGTAACATGGACTCACACCGAGCCTTTGTAACAAACCCACCCACGTTCTTCTAAACAGATAAAGTATCAGATCTCAAGGTTAACACGATGTCGCAGACAGTCGATGAAAACATCCTCCCTCTGCAGGAGCTGCAGCCTTGACTTCAGCTCCTCAACACATTTTTATCACCCTGAAAAGTTTCATTAAGTGTCTGATAGTCGACTCCACGTCGAATGGGAGTACAGAGTTTCATGAGACAGAAACAGAACATCAGGACTATCCAATTTAAAAGTTTGACTGTTTCATGCCTTTGATATATTCCTCTTAATCACGTTTGGAGGTTTTTTTTTAATGAAAATATTTAAGCAGTTTTTCCCACTTAAATATGAACATGCAAACCTAATTAGAGATGTGTTGGTAAAAGATGACACAAGGCGGGAGTGCTCTAGTTTGAAAACAAGCATGAAAAGGATCTAAAGGCAACATCTGCTGCATGACAAACGTAGCACAGACACCAGACAAGTGTATATTTTGAATGAGGAAGAGGTCGAGGGGGGGAAAGTAGACGACGTCTCAGTGATGAAAGTGAAGAATCAAGCTGAAGCTCTTTGCCTAATCTTCTCTAAGCCACTTCACAATACGTGCTAAATGCAGACATGGAGAAAATGGTCACTGGGGGCTTTTAGTGGTTACAGTCAGTATGGACGTGCAGGATGTCCCGCCCGAGCTGTCAGGTGGAACAGACGAGCGGGATGGAGGTCTGACCCTGAGTGTGTGTGAGGGTGACGGGGATCACTCAGCTGGCTAATGTGTGGGCTGTAGCCCTGAACATGGCACACCCCATCTGCAGGGATTAGACTAAACGCTGGCAATTACATCTCCTCAACAACGCGATGTGAGCTGCATAAGACTTGTGATTCACCTGGACCACACACACACACACACGCACACTCTGTCAGTGTCCCCGTTTCCTACATTTTCCTCACACCTCGGTCTGAGATTATGACGTTTTGTAATTCATCACCTCTCCACTTCTAGGATTCAAAGTAAACATTTTCATCTTGCTTTGTTTGGGTTTGGACACAGTGTGCTTCTCAAATGATGAGATGTATTTTGCGGGTGTTATCAGTTGGATTTAAGGGCTTTTTCTTTGTTTGTGTTTTGCAGACTTGTGGTTGGAGCCAGCTGTATCCTTTTGTCTGCCAGTGAGCTTGTAATTGGAGCCCCTGCATAAATCCAGTAGTAACCAGTATAAAGTTATCAGCTCGTATTTTCTGCTGCTCTGTGTGTTTTGGGGTCTTTGTGTTTTATTTGTTTTGGCCACACATCAGATGCTTCTTGTGCTGTGCTATAATCCTGAACCTGGTGCTGCCTCAGATGTGGCTCTGGAGTGTGCAGGTTTCCTCACCGGCGTCGGCATGGATACCACAGTGATGGTTCGCAGCATCGCCCTCCGGGGGTTTGACCAGGTATTACTCCCTGAATTTAAAGAGTCTGCTCATTGTGATCATGTGTTTTTTTTTTTGTCTTCTTTGAAAAGCTGCTATTCATTCTCTGTTCATGCAGCAAATGGCAGGCCTGGTGACGGACTACATGGAGGCATATGGGACAAAGTTTGCGTGGAGGAGTGTCCCGAAGAGAGTGGACAAACTGTCCTCAGGAGCCCTGCAGGTGACCTGGGTGGATTCCCTCACAGGCAACGAGCAGAAGGACACCTTCGACTCAGTGTTATGGGCCGTCGGTGAGTGTGTTCCCGTTCCTGAGTGCAAACATTGAAGTCATATGTTTAAGTAGATCTCTCAGGTTTAAACTTCATCCCTGATGTGGTCGAGGCTCTTTGTGCTGCAAATGAGCATCCTTTGAGCTCCTGGGGGAGATTTAGCTGATCATAAAACAAACTGACTCCTATGTATCTCCTAAATCAAGAAAGATAACAGACCATCAGCAACAACATTCTAATCCATGATTACTTCCACCTCCAGGCTGGTGTAGGCCGAAGTGACCTTTTGTTAACTTTCCATAGTGGATGACACCATAAAGAGACACCTGGATGATTTTTTTTCTTTTGAGAGTACAAATTAATTCACAAGACAAGGTCCCAAAAAGGTCAGACGGGCCGCTTTGTCCTCAGGGGTTTCTAAGATTGACACAAAATTAAGTTCCTCACAGGAGCTTTAAGAGGAAGAGACTTGAATGCTTTAGACTCACTAAAAAAGACATGAAAACATTTCAGACACAAGTCAGAAAAAGGAGGCCCGAAGACCTGACCACTTCTCTACTGCTGCAGCCTTGACTTGCGTCTTGACTTAAAGGTCCAATCAGTGAGATGTGTAGTGACTGAAACGATGAAGTGATCTTACTATATGATCATTAAGGAAACATGCTATGTGTGCCATGCTATCAGTGCTGGCTTCTCTGACAACAATGCAGCAGCCAGTATGTCCTCCTTCTAACTTTAGATTCTGCTCCTGAATGCTCTGGATTTGTTTGGACCAGAGAAGGTAGGAGGTTTTAAGACACCCCCCACACGGCCGTTTTGGACGCCCCTCTGTTTGTCAGATATGAGAGCAGTTATCAGGTCAACAGGTGTTGCAGTGATGGAAGCGGTCAAGAGAAGTGGTTCAGATAGAAGTGATTGTACCCGACCTAAAAAGCCTCTGCATGTTTCTAATAAGCTCCACGAGCAGAAACGTGCTCAAACTAGGATCAATATTGGAGATGCTTTTGAAAAATGGAGAGAGGTTAGAACACAGAAAGGTTTACAGACCCATGCAGAGCTGGATAAACACTGAAGCTTCAGAGTCCACCACATGGTGAGCTGCATGAGCATGGACTCTAGAGAGGAGGGGGGGGGGAGACGGTGAGGAAGAAAAACAGATCAAATCTTACCAAGAGAATCCCCTCCATATCTGTGAATTTGTGGATGTTTAATGAGTTTACCGCAGATCATGCCAGTCATCGATGTAGGAAATAGTGCAGATAATTCTGATTTTGAGTCCTTTGTAAATCTAATAATGAGATTAAACATTTTGCTTCGTTGATGGGATCTCTTTTGATGTCTTTGTTATAGTTATCGCTCAGTTGTCCACACAACTTTAAATTATGAACCCAGCTACGACAACAACAACACTTCTTTTTCTTTATTTTTTGGGCTTTTTGTGCATTTTTAGAGATAGGACAGTGGCGGCCCCACAACATCACGTCTGACACAGGTGTTTCTTATTGATTTAGTAAGTCAGTAAAGTTTATTTGTATAGCACCTCTCACAGATACACATCACAACATCCTTCACATTAAAACAAGAACACAAGGAAACAGCATAAAGTGAAACGTCTGGGGTTCACTGAATAGTGAATTTATCTAATCCTTATTTTCTATTTTAAATCTTTTCTGACACCTCCATGTGCCCCTGAAATAAACACAAGTTTGACTTTTTTTCCATGCCGCCTCCACTTTCATTGTCATGCTGAATAGAGTGCAGTGTCAGCAGATTGCAGAGGAATCAAGCCTGAAAACAAAGTAATAAAGCCCGAGTGATGGGAACGGCCAGTGGGAAGTGTTAATCACCCGCCTCTGGCTCTCTGACTGTACAGAGGGACAGGACGTGACAGGATGCACCCAGGCACAGGGTCACCACATTCCCCTCTTTGTTCTCCCTCTCTGGGCCTTCCTGCTCATGCCAGCCCTGCGGAAACCAACCCTGCATCTGTCACTGCCAACCCGGCGGCCCTCTGCGTGCTATTACCAGTAGCCCTCCTGCTCCTCTTTCTCGTTCACTCATCCTTGATATTATACCATTTCACTTCTTCTTAGCAGTGAGTATGGAGGTGAACTCCATCAGGGTGTCTGCCTTTTGTTTAATTCGTGTCCAGTGGTTTCAAAGACAGAACGGTGCTTCTGAAAACCTGCCTACCAGGCATTCCCAGGTCCGACCCAGCCAGATTGTCAGCTGTTGTTCCATCGTTGGGGGGGGGGGGGGGGGGGGGGGGGGGGGCTAGTGTGTCCTCTCTGCGTGCGACAGCGATGAGGATGCGTGTGACCCTGCTGCTGAGATGACGTTTGTTTTTCCCACCTGTGGTTCAATTCCCACATCATCCCGGCGTGGGACTGTTGTTGGTGACTGTGATATTTGCATTGAGTGCAAGTTTCAGATCCTCAGCTCCTGCAGCCTCAGCCTCGGTGTGACATACAATGTAAAAGCTCTTTGAGTAGTCAGAAGAGAAATATACAAGCTCAAGTCCATTTACCATTTACTGTAGCTGGCTCTATGCTGAACTCATGGGCCAGTTTAACGTTTAGTTTAGCAAGGTATGTTTACTTAATCAAAATACACTATGTTTGTTATTAGAGGGAAAATTAACTACAATACCACTCTCTACAGGGGTTAGGGTTGTGGGTCAGTTGGTACAGTCGGTCGTCTCTCAACCGGAAGGTCAAGGGTTTGATCCCCAGCTCCTGCAGCCACATGTCCGATGTGTCCTTGGGTAAGACACTTAAGACACCTATTTAGATTGACGTTTCAAGAGGTCATATTTACATCCCTGTGAATGTTGTGGAGACGTAATGGTGGGGCAATGTGATTCCCCCCCTCCCCCTCTGTACCGTCTTCAGAGGTAGTAACAGAGGCGTTACAGAGGCGCCAAAATTCTATGTGAATTCACAGACTGGGACAAGATAATTACTTTGTCACAGAATCAATTTAAATGTACAAAGACATGATGACCGCTGAGATTAGTTTCAGCACTTTTGCAGAATCGCAGTCTGAAAAGGGCTAATGACCGATTTCTAATTTAAGGGTCTGAGCTGTCCTCCATCTCCTGCTGCTGATACACTTACTAATGACAAGTTTCTCATACATCCCCATTAAAAAAACAACAACAGAGAATCCTGAGTCTGCATATTAGTCGTGTTTCCTGATGCTGTGTAACACAAGCAGCAATATTTTCATGTTGAAGCTACTGGCTTAAACCTTCGTCAGACCGAGCTACATCCCTGACATCTTTTGTTCCCATAGAGTTCAGTGAGAACCAGTCACAGCTCGGCCTCTGCTCTTTGATGTGTGCGTGCAGGAGTTATGAGTACAAGGCCACTTCCCTTTACCGTGACCTTACACTAGGGGCCAGGCGGGGTACCGGGCCCCAGTGGAGTTATTAAAGGCCAGAGGGGACCGGGGGACAGTATCACCGCCGTCTGCCACATCCTCCTCCACGGCCCGGCCTGCCTCCACCTTTCCCCTGCTCTTTCCTGGCCTCACGGCCGCTCCCCTGTGCAGGTGTACTCGCAGAACAAACCAGGAAACAGAACATTTCCACACTTCCTGTCTGCATGTAGACAGTGGGAACATTAGTCTTCCTCCTCACTCACTCTTCCATCCTTGAGGATGTTTTTTTATATTTTATTATCCATTTTTTAAGAACATTTGCCTGTCTGGGTTTTTATAAGTTCCTGATGACATCCCTGATCGTTGCTCTTGGTGTGTGGACGTCTAGCTTGTGGTGGGGCTCAAAGTGACCAAAGATATTCACTGTTATGACATTAGTGGAGTCGTTTCTGGGGCAAGAACATGTACAGTATGCTGAGAGTCACTGAATTTACTAGCTTGAAAATGTGGTTAATTTAGATTGCTTTCTCAAAAGAAGCCCGGTGTACTTAGTGCGATTCAGGGGTGAAATTTCAACATTGTTGCGTTTTTCTTTTGATTCAGTTTGCTTTCAGACTGAACTTAAGCCTCTCAAATGTTGTGTACCACAGCCACTCGTCACTAGTTGGGGCTGTAGCTCCGGTCAGTGGCTAGCCTGATGCTGCACTATGAACGTTCGAGAAAACAACAGGACAGTGGAGGAATGGTATCCTGTAGTGCACAGTTTGTCAGTATTTAGATCTCTAAAATGAAGATGAACTCCAGGACTAACCGGGCCTGCTTGTGCTCGTGCTTGAGCAACTGTAACATGCAGAAGCACACCTCTTGCGCACCAAGCGTGCCAGGACCAATGAAGTGTACCGTGCTTGACCACGGGTCGGAGCACTCACACCAGTTAAACAAACTGGATTTTGGGCACGGTACAGCTTGCTTAGTGTGAGTGTGCCCTTAATCACTGGTGAGCTTGGGAATCTTTTTTCTTTTGCCTGAAGCAGAACACGTAATCATTCTCGTCGTCCTGCATGATCTCCCCCCCAAAAGAAAACACTTTTCTTTGTCTTTGTTCATTTGATTGATCTGATAAGAGTCCAGCTCTCATTTCCAATGGAGGAGGATTGTTGTGGCTAATTAGCCTACTAGCAGTCTTGAAGCTTCCTCTTAATGTCACAACAGGCTTTGTTCAGATTGGCCTCTATATTTGGTGTGTGTGTTAACCCCTTATCAGTCCTGACTGTTGTTGTGTCCTTGCGGTACAATGGCGCCCTGCTCATTGAACAGTGACTGGAGCTGCAGACAGGAAGTCCATAAATGAAAAGGAAAAGTCTTTACTTACACGTCAGATTTGACTGATGAGCCTTTTTTAGGTCCATGCTGACATCTTTGTTGTAATTGATGCTAAATTTGAATACTTTTAAAACAGAAAGTATGACATACAACGTCATGTTTTAGCTGCAGAAATTTACCACTGTCGAATAAAAGCTTCAACAAGATAATGTGAGAGATTTGAGAAAACACAAGTTATATATGAGTATGAACATAACAGGTCACTGTGAAGTCACTGTGATGAATAATATAGTTTAACACTTGTCATGAAATCACATCGTCATCAGAAATGAAACCCATATTACATGAAGATATTTTTGATCGTTTTTTAAACATAGTTTCTTTTGTACCTATTTATATTTGCCCCTTTTATTTTTATGTAAATACTTGCTGTTGTTTTTATCCTGCACTATGATGAGCCAACTGCAAATAAATGTAGTTCTTATCCGCACTGTAAGGTACAATTTGAATGACAATAAAGAAAGTCTAAGTCATGTTGTCACGGTAACTGGCTGCTGCAAATAACGTTTAACGTACTATAGAACGTTTCTATAGTAGGAACGAATTATACGAAAACAGCAAAAGCGCTTCTGTTTGGATGTGTTTTGATTGATTCCATTGGAAGCAGCTGAATGTTTGGCAGCACTTTGAGTCCAAGACAAGTTTCTCCAGGGGGACAAAAACTGTATCATGTATTTTATCTTATCGTATCAAAGGGACTATTAGGTGGTCATTCAAACTGATGAGTTATTTAAAGATTCCCCCTGTACAGTGTGTGTCCTAAAGGCCCCGTCAGATAGGACGCGGTGGGCGCTGCACGCTGCTGTCACTTCCTTTCATTGTCTATTGTATTGCTCCGCACAAGAGCGTATCTCCTTGATGCCGACTTGAGCGCAGTGCATGGTCGCGCTTGCCTTTCTTGCTCGCTGCACAGAAGTTAAAACATTTTCTACTTGAGGGTAGCTCAGATCCCAACAAACGATGTCTCACTTTCCCGAGCTCTAGTTTAAAGACCTACCGGGACGTCGGCAAGAAAGATCTTGTTTTTAAAGATATTTCCAACAGTTTGGGCATACCAGGTGTGTTTAAAACAGCAGCATTAATTTGTGTCGTGTTTGTGAAGCGGTTGTTTTAGCGCTGCAGCTCCTGGACACTAAACTCTCCAACATCCTGACGGCTCTGATGATTTCAACACACACCCTCTTTTTCTTTGCTGCTCGTCTCCCCCTCTGCAGCAGAAGAAATGTTTTCATGTTGTGTGTATGTGACTTCCTGTACTTCTACAGCCAACCTCTAGTGGACACTCAAAGAACTGCAGGATTTTGCACTTCCGCATCGGCTTCATTCGTTGATGTTGCAGCTTGGTCTTATCATGACATGACAAATTGAGTGTTATAGCTCTTTATGGTAGTTAGGGTTGCAAAATCCCAGGAATTATTCAAAGTTGAAAACTTTCCATGGGAATAAACTGGGAATTTACAGGTTTATAGGTTGGCCCCTAACAGGGAACTTGAACTTGGTTGGAGAAAATATATTATAGCATAATCTTGACTAAAACAGACCAGATTTCATGTAAGTACACTTGAATATCTCTACTATTTCTCAATCACATACACTGCTTACTGCAGGGCTATTGAGGCCACGCCCCCTACATGCACTGTGCATTTCACCACACTTTGAGTACAGAGCACAAGACTATAAAGTCACACATTTTAGAGTGAATCAAGTGTTCATGATATTATAGGGTAATGTATTTTAAATGATGTATGGTATTTATGTTTAACTTGCAAATATCACATAAAAATGCATTCATACAGTAATTAGCTAGCTGGTAAATTAGATGCTAAATAAGCTATAGCTAGCATCACTTCATTTACCATTTATGAGGCTATCTATGACATAACAAAATGTTTATATTTATGCTTGGATATGATACATTTCGATTAAATTACCCTCAATTTCCAGTTAATTCCCATTCATTCCCATAATTTTGGATTTGGAATATTTCCAAAATTCCCCAGTTTAACATCCCATGGAAAGTTCCTGGAAATTCACCGGAAATTTTCCACCCCTTTGCAACCCTAATGGCAGTATGAGGATGTATTTTTGCCAGTTCTATTGGCAAAGCTGAGATGAATTTGGTAAAAAATACTTCCCTTAAAATGCCAAAATCTAAGAAGCTAAATTCCACGACAAAATAGTAATATGGCCAAATAGCGAACGACTTTTCCAGTGTTTTGTACGTTCAGAACAAGAACATATTTGGCAAGTTAAGGTGACTGCTTAACTTTCCGTCTCTGCTGTTTGTGTGCTCTCCATCGTCTTTAACCACCCATGCTGTGAGCAGGGGACCGGTCCCTGCAGCCCCCCCTGGTCTGAGAGGAGGGAGGGGGGTATGTTCTTTGGCTCCGGCTAGGAAAAAGGATCTCAGGGGTTTGTTATTTTTGCTGTCCGATAGCATCTACACGGGTAGCTCAGGGCTCGGTGTTTATTATGCTACCCAGCCGGGTTGTGAGGAGCAGTGGGGGGGGGGGGGGTGAGGGGGGAGGGGTGGAGTGGTCCATGGCCCATCACCATAGAGACTCAGCGTCGACAGCATCAGTCAACCGTCCCCCAGGAAGTGTCAGAAATCACACCTTTGGGTGTCCTGGGGGTTGATGGGAAACTGATTCCCTGTTGCTCATCAGTTTCTTCTCTCTTTCTCTCTCTCTCATAGCTGACCAGATGTTGTTAATTACCTAATGTTAGCATGCTAACAGGCTATCTGAGGTAACTTTATTCCTGCAAAACATTAATCGGCATTCTTCTGCTAATGTTGGATTCGTAACACCAAACACGTTGCTTAGCATTAGCATGTTTGATTGTCCCTGTGATGGCAGATAGCAGGATTACATTAGCATTGAGCTCTACTGTACTCAAGTACATTTTCAATGAGCTGCTGACGTGGCTGTAGCGTCGACATTGTTTTATGAATGAAAAACAATCAGAGTTAATTGATATTTGCAATGAAATTAGCCGATACCGATAGTCATTGGATATGCTAATATCAGCTGATATTATCGGCTGGCCATCTCGGTCATGCTCTCTTCATAAGAGTTCTAATCAGCTTCAAAACCATCCTTAATATAGTCATCATCATTATTTAAATCATCACATCACTTCTAAATGTTGTACAGAGAGTCTCTGCCTCTCTCTCTCTCCTCTCTCCCTCCCCCTCTCTCCCCTCCCTCTCTCTCCTCTCTCTCTCTCTCCCTCTCTCTCTCCTCTCTCTCTCCCTCTCTCTCTCTCTCTCTCCCTCTCTCTCTCTCTCTCCCTCTCTCTCTCCCTCTCTCTCTCTCTCTCTCTCTCTCTCTCTCTCCCCTCTCCTCTCTCTCTCCCTCCCTCTCTCCTCTCTCTCTCCCTCTCTCTCTCTCTCTCTGTCTCTCTCTCTCTCTCCCTCCCTCTCTCTCCTCTCTCTCTCCCCTCTCCTCTCTCTCTCCCTCCCTCTCTCTCCTCTCTCTCTCCCTCTCTCTCTGTCTCTCTCTCCTCTCTCCTCTCTCTCCTCTCTCTCTCCCTCTCTCTCTCCCTCCCTCCCTCTCTCTCCTCTCTCTCTGTCTCTCTCTCCCTCTCTCTCCTCTCTCTCTGTCTCTCTCTCTGTCTCCTCTCCCCTCTCTCTGTCTCTCTCTCCCTCTCTCTCCCTCTCTCCCTCTTTCTCTCTCTCTCTCTCTCTCTCTCTCTCTCTCCCCTCTCTCCTCTCCCTCTCTCTCTCTCTCCTCTCTCCCTCTCTCTCTCCCTCTCTCTCTCTCTCTCTCTGTCTCTCTCTCTCTCTCTCTCTCTCTGTCTCTCTCTCTCTCCCTCTCTCTCTCTCTCTCTTCCTCTCTCTTGCTCTCTCCCACACCTCTGCCTCTCCTGCTCTGTAATGTAATATTCTCCTTGTGTTGTTTTCCTTTCCTTTGACCTCAGGCAGAGCCCCTGAAACCAAAGCCCTCGGCCTGGACAAGCTCGGCGTGCAACTCAACAAGCAGACGGGGAAAATAGTCGTGGGCGCCGACGAATCCTCCTCAGTGCCAAATATTTACGCTTTCGGTGACATCGGAGAGGTAGGCATGGTGAACAGACACAAACCTCACATGGATGATAAAGATAACCAAGTTAGAGATGGAAAACATGATGTCATAGTTCTGATTTAGACAGAAACCTGGATATTCAGATCCCTGTGCACATGATAAATACTAGAATCCTGCTTTCTGTGTTTATTTTAAAAACACAAACCGCAGCAATTTAGAAATCTGAGAAAAATGAGACTTCTGTGGATTATTGTGGGTTTAGCAGTAATAGACGGCAACATGGAGCTGCAGATGTGGCGTATCCACCTCATCAAAAATATGAAACATTTCCCGATCTCTGACTGGTGTCAGCTTGTCGCTGCCAGGCGCTCCAGAAATAAGTTGCTCATGTTGCTGCCACCGTGTTTGTTTTTCTACTACATCACTTGGCTGAGGCAGCGTCTGCACAGGTAGTCAGCAGCTGTCATGTGAGGTGTTTCTCAATGTTTACATGCACATACAAAATAACAGGATCCAAACCAGGAAACTGAGGTTCATGTAAACTTAATGTTACACTTCCTTTAACTATTTTACCAGTTTAACTTCCATCTTTTTGCTATCACTAAGATTAGAAGTATTTATAGTGGCCTGCACTGTGGTTAGCGCTGTTTCCTCACAGTGAGGAGGTTCCTGGTTTGAATCCCTGTCTAACAGGAGCCTCTCTATGTTCTCCTTGTGCATGTGTGGGTTCTCTCCGGGTACTCCGTCTTCCTCCCACAGTCCAAAGACATGCTGGTGACTCTTAATGTGAGTGTGTCTGGTTGTCTGTCTCTATATGTCAGCCCTGTGATTGACTCTAGGTAAGAACATAAAATGCTTAGTTGACATGTTGATGTCTTCACTGTCGGGTTCCCGGCTCATTTTCCTTCTAAATGTTTCTTTTTTTCTATATGCAGGAAAGTTATGACATCATAACCTGCCTCTTTGTCTCAAAATGAAGTTTGCACATTTTATAAAGGTTGCAAAATATAATGAATAATACTTTATTTGTAGAGCACTTTTCAAGACTGATGCACAGAGAACTTTCTCTGCGTACACAGAAACTTCAGTTACATACAGTTAAAACAGATCCTCCTTAATTGCTGATAGCCGAGCGGTTATGATACGCTCCCCTTGTATGGAGGTGATAGTCCTAGGCGCTGCAGCCGTGCGTTTGAATCCAATCTCTGCCCTTTGCTGCATGTCTTCCCCCCACTCGTTCCTCCCAGCATGTCATGTCTCTCGTCAGCTGTACTATCCAATAAAAGCAACAAAAAATATCTTAAAAAACAAACAAACATTAAAAGAACCAAAGACAGATGAAGGTAAAAACAATAAAAACTGGATACATGAGCAGAAATGGAGTCAGCTGAGGATAAAAATCACTACAAATATGAATGATTATCTATCATTTAGAGGATGCATGTGTGCACACATACAGGACATCGTATCCCAGGTGAGAGCTTTGTATTGAATATAATGAGTCCTGCCATCTGTGTGTGTTTCCAGGCTGGAGCAGCCATGTTCTTACTAGTTCAACCTGCTGCATGTAATGTCACTGTTGTTTTTCCAACACGACCAGCTGTGTGCTTCCTTCCTGCCTCTGAGCCACACACACACACACACACACACACTCTTCATGATCGACAGCTCTCTTTGATGAGTCATACTCTGCTCCAATCTGTCTGTCAGTCAGTTTTTTTTTTCTCTTACATTATTATTTTTCTTAAATCAGACGGGCTCGTATCTCAATTTGTTTGGTGCTGTGTTGTTTTACTTCTCAGCAAAGCGTGCCAAAGAATGCATCATGTACGTATGACAAAAGACTTTTTACTGGAATGCCCGTGCACACGTCCAAGTTCGCGCGGTGCTGCAGGAGATGTTTTGGACAACAGGATGTGCTGTGGCGATTGAACAGGTTTTAAGTCATGCTTTTCGAATTGCCCTGCAGCGCAACTGATTGCTGCACCATTCTGGTGTGTGTGTGTGTGTGTGTTGTGTGTGTGTGTGTGTGTTGTGGTGTGTGTGTGTGTGTGTGTGTGTGTGTGTGTGTGTGTGTTGTGTGTGTGTGTGGTGTGTGTGTGTGTGGGTGTGTGTGTGTGTGTGTGGTGTGTGTTGTGTGTGTGTGTGTGGTGTGTGTGTGTGTGTGTGTGTGTGTGTGTGTGTGTGTGTGTGTGTGTGTGTGTGTGTGTGTGTGTGTTGTGTGCGCGTGCGCGCCTGTCTGGCAGACATCCACAACCATAAAGTCAAAAACACAGAAGCACAGACCTGAGTGTGCTAGACGGTTTAAGTGTCAGTCACTGGCTTGTGGTCGATGTTCACTGAGTGTTTGTTTTTTTACGCTCGTCTGCAGTATTTACGCTTTAGTCACACAGCGAAGGAATTAAACCTGATGAACCTGAAGGTTTAAACTTACCGCTTTGTTAAGTTAAGTTAAACAATTAGCTTCTTTGTCAAGTGTAATGTTGTCTGAGGTCATACAGGATCTTCTGTTCTCTGGTTAGCTTCAAACACTGTATTGTTTAATGCAGACTCAGGGTGCATGGAGTTGATCATAAGCTCATGTTTTTGATTTACCAGGCCGTGTTGGAGAGCATCATCAGGTACAGGATGACAGCCTGGTACGTTTAAAATCTAAGCTTGTTCGTCTTGTCTGATGCAGACTCCCTCAGAGGGAGGGCCGAAACGTCTCCCTCCAAAAACCAGGAGAGAGAGAAGAGGGGAATGGAGCCACAGGTCGGACTTGAACTCTGGCCAGGACTATAGCCGCCATACATAGGGAGCTATCTAACCGCTAGGCCCCTATGTATGAGCTCTTACCATCTTGCAGACGATACAGAATCCCCAAATGCAAACTGACCTGTTTTAAAAAACCTGTTTGTGCCCACCTGAACAATGTTTCTTAAGGCTGTTTGGGTCATGCAATAGCCTTCTGGTGTTCTCATCTTTTATCTTCTAGTCTTTTTAAGCAGATCTTGTGCAGTATGGTTGATGTGCTGCAGACATGTTTACATGTGTGTTGTTTGTTTTCACTGTGGAGGCAGCTAATGCGTCTCATGTTTTAAGATGTGACAAAGTCTCTTTAATCGTCTCTTCTTTCAGGGCCGTCCTGAACTGACCCCCACGGCCATTAAAGCAGGAAAGCTTCTCGCCCGGAGACTGGCCGGTCACAGCGCTGAGCTCATGAACTACGACAATGTGAGACACGCACATACACACACACACACACACGTCTTTGAGCCTGATATTTTATGGTCGGAGTCTCTGATACATCTTCACCATTTCCTGTTCCTCCGGCTTCTACTCCAGATGACTCATGGCATCAAGTTTCCCCTGTATATCTAGATTAGATATTAGATTGTTTTTCTCAGGTTTTAACAGAAGAAGGTGTGACTTGTTCCACATAAATATATCATATCAAGTCTGTCCTGTGTAAATGTGTCTCTGAGTCATGACTGTCTACAATGAGTGAGAAGCTCGAGTCCCACTGGCTGTGTTGTTGTCAGAGCCGTGTTTACATGGACGGGACGGCCGGCTCCTCCCCTTGTGTATAAAAGCTGTTTTAGTCAAGAACTAGAGAGAAGAAGAAGAACATACTCACCGATTATTTGAACGTCACGTAAGTGTGTTTATTGCGTTTTATTGATTAACCTCTGGGTGTAATGTGTGTGTGTGTCTCAGGTTGCCACCACAGTGTTCACCCCCCTGGAGTACGGCTGTGTGGGTCTCTCTGAGGAGGAGGCAGAGATGAGGCATGGAAAAGACGGCATAGAGGTAAGACAGTAGTGTGGTGGGATTTCATGTGGAGCATTAAACAGCTCTGGTAGTTTATAAATGCTCCTCAGGTCGGGTACTATCACTTCTATCTGAACCACTTCTCTTGACCGCTTCCATCGCTGCAACACCTGTTGACCTGATAACTGCTCTCATATCTGACAAACCAAGGGGCGTCCAAAACGGCCGCGTGGGGGGGCCTTAAAACCACCTACCTTCTCTGGTCCAAACAAATCCAGAGCATTCAGGAGCAGAATCTAAAGTTAGAAGGAGGACATACTG